CCCAGGCCCTTTGTTGAGCCAATGCACCTCGCTCACCCAAAAGAAGACAACTCTGTGTTCATTCTTCACTGGGTTAGCAAATCAAATCAGTTCTCAGCAGGCTGGCAAACCTAAAACTGGGGTGAGCTAAGCCCAGACCAGCTGCTGGCAGGTCACCAGACTGACCCAAGCCATCTCATGAAACACCTGGAAGGCACAAAAAGCTACAACTGCCATTAGATAGATGAGTAAATGTGTTTCCGTCCTAACCACAAGTTAGCAATCCTTTTACACAGATACTACATTCTTAGATTAATATTTTAAGTTCTGTACATACTTATGCAGTAGCTGCACAAAGGCCAAGGTGTGGTTCAGCATAATGCCATTTCAGTTCTCTGTATTCAAAACAGATGCATTTTATAGCACTGGAAAGGTTCAGGCCGATTAAAGTGAAAAAAAAAAAATCAAACTGACTTAATCTAAAGGGAGCTAGGAGTATAAATAGCACTTTTTTGTGGGGGGAGGGTGTGTGTGTGTGAGAGAGAGAGTATGGAGAGGATAGGAATAAGGGTTACAAAAATTGCAAAATACTGAGAAAAAGATAAGCAATGAGCCACTGTGAGAAATGTGAGCAGAGCTTATGTTGGTATAGATGCTCATCTGATCTGTTAACTGCTCTGCTCTTCTAGATCAGGCAATGGGGTTTGGACATTTGATACAAGAGGTTCCCAAAACCTGAAGACTCTTGTTATAGGGGGAGAATGGTACCAGATATCTAGGCCCTTTCCATTTCTTTTGTTTAAATACATTTTCACAGCACGAAACAGAAGGCAGCACACTGTTCACTATATTCCTTTTAAAGGTGGGGGAAGCCTGAGGCACGGTAGGACGATGTGACTGGGCTGTAAAGTCACTGAGCAGACCAGCCACAAAGCTAAAGCTGCACTCAAGGCTTCTCAGGTGCTGGCCCAACACTATCTCCTACATCATATGGCAATGAAACATTTGAAAAGACTAAAGTAATCAATATAATACCAGATGAGATGACTCAAACTGACTCAACGGCTTATAAACCATCAGTAAAAACTTAGAAGGCACCAGAGGACTAGAAAAGAACAAATTCAATCCAGATCTTCCAAAGGATAATGAATGTGAAGCAGCAGGGAGAAAGAGGAGCAATCCAGGCAAGCTGCTTGCACAGGCTTTTAACTCTCAGCTTCTTAGAAAACTTTTAGAAAGCCTCAAATGTGGAGAGGACTACAGTGAATACTGCTAGCTAACACTCCCGTCAAGTACACATCTTCAGTTCTAAGCACCTTCATATTTGCAGAA